ACTTCAAACATATGAAAAAATCACTTTAAATAAATAGAAATGGAACAGTTGGCAATAAAATCATTAAATAAAGTTAGGCCCCTATTTCATTGTATATTTAAAAAACTGACTAGGCAATAAGAATTGAGGAGGTGAGTAAAATCAAATAACATTAAAAGAAACATGGAACACTTTCAAAGCTTCATAAAGGCAAGGCCTTCTATGTGACACAGAACCAGGAAAACCAGAAAGCTATAAAAGGAATTACTTGACACATAAATGAAAAACTTTTAAATGAAGTATAGCACAAAGAGAAAAAAAAAACTGGCATATTGTTGAGATAAAATATTATAAAATTGTTGTTACCAAATGGATTATTACCCTAATACTTCTAAAACACATAACATAGGAAAAATTCCTTTGTTTACATTTCTATTAGTTTTTTTAATTTTCTTTTTGTAAAGCATAGCAAATGGGCACAAAAGATTGCTGCTAGTCAATTTTCTGTTGCTGAAACAAGGCATCTAAGAAAATCAATTTAAAAGGAAGAAACATGTATTTTAGTTCATGGATGCAGAGCTCCACTGCCTCTGGCTGTATAATTTTGAGCCTGTAGCATGACAGAACATCACGGCAGAGAGCATGTGGGACAGCAGGTCCTCCATCCCCTGGTGACGAGAAAGCGAAAGGGACCAGGGTGCCATCAACTGCACAGTATGCCTCTAAAGTTCTGCTTCCTCCAACCCCAGTCACTTTCTAATGCTTTCATATCTCTTAACAGCACTATCACTCCGGGACCAAGTCTTCAGTATGTGAGCCTTCAGGAACAATCCAGGTCCCAACTATAACAGATGTACAACTTCATTTAATCAGCAGTGAACAACTTTCAAAACTTGTGTTAACTAAAAACTTGTCAAAATCTAAAATACTTACACTATTTATTAAAATGAAGAACTGGAAGAAAGTGCAATACCTCATGTAGGGTTGATGAAACTTTAAATTAATAAGGCTTTTTGATGCAATTTCTAATTTTCATTTAAAATCCTATATGCTTAACCCAAAGTTGCATTACAAGAATCCTATCTATAGAATAAGCATATGCATAGCATAAAATAGCTCCAGTATAATCACTGCAGGATAATCTTGATTATAATTAAAAACTAGAAACAACAGAAATAATGCATTTCTGTGCACATTTGAGAAAGTTAAATTCTATGGAAATATACAGTAAAATAACAGGATGGGTACATACCAAATACTAAAACTGTTAACTACAAAGGGATAAATACTGGCAGAAAACATAGGGAATGAAAAAGGACTTGAAATTGTCTTTCTCTCTTTCATTTTTTTGTTTTGTTTTATTCACTGGGTGTCCTTCTTTATTAAAAAATTTTACAGTTGCAATGTACACCTTTATTTTTCATATATTTAAAAAAAGTTTAAAAAGAATGCTAAATTACAGTTTCTTAATTGCATAAAAATAATGTCATGAAAGATTATAATTTGATAAATTAATAATTTAGTAATTAATTATCAATTCATATTATTAATTCTGTATGAAACACACATATCAACACAGACCTTTATCAAAAGACTGTATATTAATAAAAGACGAGACAACATAGAGCCATCCAGATCATGCAAAAGCAATCAGAAACCCAGGAAAGTAAGTGGGGAGCAGTCAGGTGACGCTAGCTATAGCAGTGACCCACATAATATCACCTTACTTTTACTGGAACCACATATGAGGCTGTAGTGGGGAAGGGAAAAATAAATAATACATATTTTTTCCTTTTTAAGTGAATGATGATAGTCTGACCAGAAAACGAAGATAGTATGAAAAGAAACTTCGTGTAATGGAAAAATCACTTTGGTTTGAAATTGATTCTGCCATCCCACTCTTTGGTCTGACATCCCTCCCTGCTAGCCCCCCACAAGCAAGCCCGTCAAAGCTGCATAGCTGAACTAAGTGGAGAAAATCCCTTACTCTCCATATCGCTGTTATAAAACAGAAATAGTAACCTCTCTCATTCAACAAGTTCACAAAGATTAAGGGAGATAATCAACAATAGTACCTGGTGTACGTTTTAATATTTATTTTTTAAATTTTTATTTTTATTGTATTTAAATTTAATGTTTTGTGGTACCAACAATTGAACTTATTACCTTCACACTGAGCTAAATTCTCAGAATTTTTTATTTTTTTTAAACCAAGATTGCACTGAATCACCAAGCGGCCCAGCCTAAGCCTAACCTTCAAGTGCGCTGGATTACAGGAATGCACTACCATGTCAGGCGACTTGTTATTTTTAAAAAGCTAAGAAACGTTTCATGAGGGCATCAGACAGCAGTGTACTTGAGATGGATATGCAGAGATAAGGGACTTCTGGAGCATGCCCCAAACTCCCCCCAGCTCTTGGTAGAAAGTAACCTGCAGGGCTGCAAGTCCACGTTGGGTCAAACATTGTTGTAAAGAATGAATGCTCCCCTCACCTATATTCTGATTTATCACTTATATCAATAATGTAGCAAATCATCCTTATCCTTCCTTGTCCTTCCTCTGTCCCCTGCATAAATTTTGGCACAGATGTCATTCTTTTGTCCTTTATCCTTGCTCTCTGGTTCTATCAATAAAAAGCCACAGAAACTTCAGTCCAGGTCTGTCGTTATAGGACTCTCTCACTCCGAGGAGTCTCAGTTAAGGTTAAGGGCAATCCTTCCGGACTTTGACTCCAAGTAATCTCTCATCCTTTGCACAGGGGCATAGTTGGGAACAGTGACAGTGTCTAATGTGCTCAAGAAATTAGCAAAGGTTTGAAATAGATTGAATAGCAAAATTCTAAAATATTTGCTGGAATACAATGAAATACAACTAACAGTTAATTGAGATAAGCGCAAGTTATTTGTGTGAAAAAAGTTAATTTTATATTCATTTTTCTAGCTTAATAATAAAATTATTTCACAAGCAGTAGATAAATTGGAAATGTATATTCAATAAGATTTGCCTATTTTTCTGATAAATGTATAAAAATGGTTTTATGTATTTTAAACTTTTAAGTCTACCAAAAGTAGGTTTTCTTTTGCATTATTCTCTAAACAACATAGCATAACAACCATTAACACATCATTTACAATTTATTAGGTATCATAATCTGAGAAGGATTTAAAGAACACAAGAGAATATGTTCAGGTTATATGCAAATACTATACCATTTTATATGAAGATCTCAAGTACCCACAGATTATGGAATCCATAGGAGGTCCTGAGACCAATCTATACAGATACAGAGCTACATCCTATGTGAAACTTAACAGTTCTGGATCAGTCAAGTATTTTGTATACTAGTAATAACTATCATTTCTTTTCCTGCCTTTTCTGTTAGTTCAAAACCCTTTCTTTTTGGTACCTAATATCTCTCGCTTTATTTTCTCCTTCATTTTATTAGATTAAATATACTTTATGTTTCTGGGGTCTCTTAGCTGCTAAGCAGAAATAATTTTTCTGTTATATCTCATACTTTCTTAACAGGCCTCCATCTACCTCTTGTTCCTAAATTTTTGCTCAATAAGATGGTACTACGGTATGGAAGTGCCCTCATTTATTACAGCTACATTTAACTGATATGATTCCACTAGGAACTTCCTCACTGATAAATTGTCCTTAGATGTGCCATAGAGTAACCTGGCAAATTTGTGCCAGCAAAACAGTGTGTCCAGACAGGCTGATGCAATGACAATGGTGTCACTCAAGAAGGAGAAACAAAATAGTAATGGTTTTACAGCTCTACTGGCAAAAAAAAAGAAGGTCAATATTAAAACTTTGTTTTCTTTAATAGAAAAAAAAAGTTTCTTCTTTACCCTGTTTTATATGTATTCTTTCCTATAAATTATACATAGCTACAAAATCAGTTTCTTTTATTGGTCCCAGATTTTGACTTTATTTTTTAAAATAATTATCAAGTCTCCTACATGTGAGTTCATTAGTTTTGATAGATTAGAATACTACAGGGATGGCTGGGTGTTTAGTTCAGTGGCTTAAACACCTTCCTGGCAAGCATGAGGTCATGAGTTCAGTCCCTGGTACTTCTACAGGGAATGGCATATTTTTTTAACATATGGGATAGAATTGAGATTTGATTGAATACATAAATTTTAAAAGCAGTTTCAGGTCTGATGAATGGAACTATGCCTATAGCCCACATAAATTGTGTGTTCATGTCAGATATAACTAAATAATTTTACACAAATGTCTTAGGAGAAATGCGATAGATTATGATAATCAGGTAAATACAGAGAAATCCCCATGTCTAATTCTAGTGCATAAGATTAGATTATTAAAATTAAAACTATCTGGATTTGAAAGATTAAACAGTATTAAAAGGTTGAGTTCATTTCACTATTTAATCTCTAAAGCTAGTAAATAAATTGAATATATGGTCATCATTTCATATGATGACTGCTCAAAGGAACAACTGGTTTTAACATTATAAATCAAATTGTGAAACTAACTCAAATGTTGCTATAACTAATACAACTTAAACCTTCTGCTATAAGATTGATATATATTTTTTTCCAGCACAGTTGTACCCTGTGGAATATTTGTCTTGCCAGATGAGCTTTTCATAATGAATCACATTCAAAAACCATCAAAAAATGATATACTGACATATGTCAGGAAAAATATTGCTGATGCTTGAAGGTATTTTCCATCAAATGTTCAGTATGGCACAATGGTCATTTTGTAATTCATTAAAGAAACTGGGAAGAGCTTATTAACCTCCAGAGTGTTAAAATGAACTTGCAGTGAAACTGATCAAGTTTCTCCTGTGTCAGAAATACTTCATGGATATTATTGATCAAGAGCCTGGGACACTGAGTACAATTGACATCTAAAAACAAAGATCATGAGGTAGAAATTATTTTTTAAAAAATTCTTAAATTCAAAATCAATATGCTGCTTAGCATGACAGAGGAAATCTTGGTGGTGTAAGTTTTTATTATGGATCCACAGGAAAACGTACCTGGCCAGGCTGAAGGCATCGTCAATCAAACCTGCACGGTTACTGACAGAAAGAACCTAGGCAGCCAATCAGGAGGGAAAAGAAAGGAATCCTTTAGGATTAAGATGACAGGTGTTCAGATATAAAAGCAGATAGTTGATGAGCAAATCTAGACTATACCTCATGGTTCCTGATTAACTGATCAATTAATAATCTCCAATTCCTTAGGTCATAGTTGACTCTAAAGTAGCCAGTTTGATTGATGTTCCCCAGAAGCCAGCTTCCTTTGTCCAAGGAAGTTACTCTGTGATGCTCTGCAAACAGTATTTTGAGGGTAGATTTTAATTTTTAAGGCTTAAAATAGAATTATGTATGCTTTATTAATATCAGATGTAACAATAATTAAATGACAAAGCCTTCATAAATATCTAATTAAAACTTATTCTTTAATCACTTAGATCTAGAAATGCCTGAAATAAAATTTAGTTTTGTTGTTGTTATCTCAATTAATTATTTTCATATAAATAATATGTTTTGTTCTTCACAAAACCTCCATTACATAAACATAATTTTATTCATCAAAATAAATATAACCTGGAGATATGCCACAATATCCATGTGACTTTTAATTAGATTGCATGCTATGTGTGACTAGAATAAAAGAAACAATTTTAGGCACATATTTTACTTACTATATTCACTAGGAAATTGATTAAACCAATAGAGCTCAATTACTTGAAAGTTGATGTTGTTACTTACCTTTTTTCTCATGCTTTCTTAGAAATATTAATGAATAATGGACTTTCAAACATCGATAACATTGGAAAAAGTAAACCTCATTTGTTCAAGACACTAATATTTTCACACAGAATTAGAAACAAAGGTAAACTTTGTTTATTCATATCACTTCAAAAAATGGTAACTTATGTTCATCAGGGAATTTAATTAAGAGAAACCAGTAAAAACAATGTGTGTGTGTGTTTGTGTGTGTGTGTGTGTGTGTGTGTGTCCTTCAAATAAGGTACAGTGAGATAAATTTATTCTCTAGTGAGCTTTTAGTGATTCTTGAGAGCCAAGGTCCAAAATTATAATGATATTTTTGTTATCTTAAGAATTCATGCTTCATAGACTTTTCAATATGGAGTTGACTTAAACTTCACATGCACACACATACACACAAACTGACATGCATGCAAATTACATACAAAAGAACATACCAGAATATTCCAATTTCTAAAATGACTCAGAACCATAAAATGTACCACAGAACCCATGTACCTCAAAGCTGAGTAGTGAACATACATCTAATTCTTACTCGATGATCAAGAATTTTACTCATCAGAATTCAAAATAGAAAACAATATTCACTTTCATTTCTCTGAAGGACTGAATTAACAAAGGTCTCTCTGTCTCTCTGTCTTTCTGTCTCTGTCTCTCCTCTCTTTCTTTCTCTCTCTCTCTCTCTCTCTCTCTCTCTCTGTCTCTCTCTCTCCTACTCCAATTCCTGCCTCTTTCTCTCTCAACTGGAGGCTACACAACAAAAGATTATGCCAGAAAATCTGTTGAGTAGACATTAATGATTACTTTAGGCCTGAAATAAGATGAATTAATTAATCTGATGAATGTTACAAATTAGTCATTTCAAAATCTTCAGCAAAACAAAATGTACCTAAACCCAAAAGTACACTGAATAAAAAAATCTAATCTTTAGTGTTTCAAGTATCATTCAACTTCTTGCAACCGTTATAAATTGTGTCCACTGGAGCAGATAGAAAAAGAGGCTCAGACATGTTAATCAAATTAATGAAGAATGTTAGACATTTCTCTAAAATGAAAACTGGCTTCTCAAGTCTCTGAAGCTTTATAAATACATATAGTTTTCAAAATTTAATGTGATTATTCATAAACTGCTTTAAGAAATGTAGAAGGTCACCCCAACTTTACAGATATAACAATGACAAGAAATAGCTAATAAGAAAATATGGAATTTTAAAAAACTAAAAAAAGACTTAAAAGAAGAGACTGTAATTAATCATGTCTGAATTCAGGGGAAAAGTAGTTAAAACAGAATATTTTTTCTCTTGAGTAGCCCTAATTGCCTTTAAGTATAGTAAGCTTTTTTTTAAAAAATCACTATGATTGATTCATCAAATTAGATAATTTTCATTTCATAAGTGTTACAATGTTAAAGCATCAAGTTTAATAAATGAGAATGATTTAAATTTTTACATATTTGAAGTATTTATGGATTTCAATAATATTGTCTTTTTAAAAGTGGTTTCTTGTGTACATTTTAGAATGTTGCAATAATTTAAGATCTATGTGACACACAGCTCTGGTTTTTTCAATTTTTTCCATTTAAAATCTGAAAGGTAGAATACAGTCAAGTTGGAATTCACATGTATATTAAAACATGAAAAAATCCTGTAGCTACTTTACTGCTTAACTAATAGGAGAAAGACAGACATCTATTGCTATAATTACTTGATTATTAAATTTACAACTAAAACCTGAAGGTTATTACTTTTCATGAATACATTTATACCTTTGTTACAAATTAGATCTTTGGAGAAATGATTCTCTGAAAGATTTTGTAATAGATTTTTAAATATCTTTTCAGGTCTAGTTAATTATATCCCTAAAATGTTCTTCAAATTATCTAATGGCAAGCAATGAATTTTAAAGAGATCTTTTCCAATAGCCTAATGAGGTACAGTGTATGATGAGTATCATAATTAAACAGTAAGAAGTTATATTTTGAGTATTGGTAATAATAATTAAAATTTATATTTATGTACAAAATGCCCCAAAACTCAGACCACATCTAGGATAGAACTTTTTGTATTTTACAATACATTATATGTTTTACTTTTTTAGAATAAAAAAGGAAATGAGAATCATATCTCTATCCAATATTTTCTAGTTGTAGAAAAATTATATTTTTTGTTAGAAAGGGTTAAAATATGAGACTCAATCAGGGATAACAACAAATAGGGATTCTGTCACTAGAGTTTTGAAATAAAATGGTATAATCCTTTCTGGAGATTATAAATAAATATGTACATGTGTCCAAAAATATCATGTTGAATGACTGATAGAAACTGGTAGATCTGCAAAGCAATGTATCAAAGGATTAAATTCTCACATTGTGTGCATTTGTGTATATTCCTGTGTGTGTTGCGTGTATCTGTGTTATCATGGGAGGGTATACAAGAGAAAAACAAGATTCCTAAAGTCAGCTCTTCAACAAACTAATGAAAAGATACTCTGCTTATGTCTCAAGCCTTAATTCCTCACTTATAAAAGATGAAGACACTGGTCATTTTAAAGTTTACGAATCTCAGATGAGTCGGTATTTGAGGAAAGTGTTAAAACATTATGCTTATTTTAATGACTGTGTAATTTTCATGGTCAGTTAATTTTATTATGAATCTTTCCTAATATCTGGTATTAAAATTATTTTCCTCAATTTTCCATTAATCAAATAGTCATTGAGGATGCAAGTAACTACATTGATTTGTTGGTATTTTATAGCAAAAATGAAACAAAATTTTCAACTTTCCTTTAAAAGTAATAATGGGTTTAACAGTTGTTTTTAATCTACAATATGCCTTACCTTGGAATTCACTATTCATCCAATGTGCTTTAAAGAAATGAATTGCCAACAACATACGATGATTTAAATCAAGTTTATATTGTGCCTTGAAATCTCTTGAGATCAAACCTTTATTACTACTGATGGTGCAAATGATTAGAAATATCGATCTTGTTAATATGATTGACTATGTAATTTCTCCTTATATAAAATGATAAAAATTGACCAGGATATTTTATTTATGTTTTCATGAAAAAACAATTTTCATTGATATTAATTTACTATATTTTGAACAAGAACAGACATGGTGACTTACAATTATAAGTCATCAGAATGAAATACATCCAGAAAATACTGAGCACAATTAGAATGGAATTGAAAAAGCAAAAGAAGGTAATCTCTCTTTTATGTTCCTCTGGAAACTTTCTAACATATTTTTAGAAACATTTTAGCAGGCATTTATTTAACATAGGCATTCCACCAAAAGCTTCAACATTCATCGATGACAATGTTTATAAGAAACAAAGACTCTGCAGTGAGTTAATGTGAAATGATAGATTATGCCATTATACACATTGTATAACTTTTGGCTAGGGAAGTGTGGCACTCCTGTCATAGACTATGCCAATAACATCATTTAGAATTATATACATTGTAAATTACACAGTTGTGTTTAACAAACACAGGCATGATCAATATTTAAGACTAATATATATGGTTTAAACCAACACATTATTATTTTGCCTGGATACAAAAAATTTCTCATGTAGCAATCAATGCTGATGGGTCTGGGAAAGTCATGACACAATTTTTGATTTTATGTGGTATAAGAGGATACCATGAAAAATTAGTTAGAGGAAATGAACTTGGAAAATGCATGCAACAGAAATCAAAGAAATATTGGTTTAATCCTGACAGTTGATCAGCATCTTAACACTTATCTGGTTTTTCCCCTTTTTTATTCTATCTTCCTGGGGAAAACATTTCACCTGATTTGTAGAAACTTATTCTCATCATCTGTGATCTCCCAAAGAAGAGTGATTTCAGTCTAATATTTGTAGCATTACAATAACAACTCATGAATTCATAAAAGTTTCATTTCATTAAAAATTATTTAGATAAAATAACTATATAAGGGGAAAAGAGAAGTGTACAGAAAAATAATACAGGTATTGTGAGTCCTGGATTTATAAATGCTAAATCCAAGGAATAAAAAGAATAGATTATTTCTACTTAAAAGGAAAAGTGCTAGTAAATGTTAAAGTATTCCAGTACATCATTACATTACATATACATGTCTTTCATACAGTGTATATAAGTGAAAATACAGTTTGATAATAGATGACTAAGTATTAAAACACAATAACAAAATCCATTGGAATTATATATTTATAATTCTAGAAACTAAAATAGATTTTACTTTACTTTTCCTTGTGTCATTGCATGTATTTTGTATTAGTAAGACTCTCAGAAGTAAAGTATTTATTTATATCTTATCTTATTTAAAAAATAAGGTGTAGTCATTGAAATTTATGTAACAGGGCCAGGGATTTAGCTCAGCAGAAGAAGCACCTACCTGGCAAATGTAAGTTTGTGAGTCTGTTCCCAGGTACCAATAAATAAATAGATAAACAAATAAACTTATGTAACAGTAATTAACAGTATATGAGATCTCCTTTGTATTAGCAAGACTGAGGGGAATAAAAATATTTATATCTCATCTTATTTAAAAATTAAGATATGTAGTCATTTAAATTGATTAACAGTAATTAACAGTATATGTGATAGGCACAAGAAAACATAAAGACACAATTGATCATCTAAATTTAAATCAAATCTTACATAAAAAATGATAACTGGAGTTTTTTCCGACTCAATGGGAATAAAAGGGACCCATTTCACACTCTACTATGAAGGATATAGATTGGATTCAAGAAAGAGCTTTTCTGAACTAAAATAGGTCACTGTCTTTTCTGAGGATATTTAGAATGAGCATAGAATCTCATCACTCTCTGCTCCCCTCTGACCCATGTAGGATATGATTCAATGACCTAAATGCCTCCCCTCCTGGCCCTGTAATTATCTAATTTCAAGGGAAATATTGCCTCTCACATCTTTCAAAGAGACAACCTAGTCTAAAAAAAAAAAACAGCAAAAGTATGGTGTTAAAAATGAAGTTTGTTTCTTATTTCACAGATTGTTGCACCAGGAGTTATGATTAAACTTAATGCAAGTTAGGACTATAAAAATATACAATTAAAATGGTGAGATCATTACTACAAATACTTATTTTCTCTTACCATAAAATAAAACAAATAAATTTAATAATTACACAGACCAATTAGAAGTTATACTAAACTATCTCTAATTTTGTAGAAATGGTTGCTATTCTATTTTCTCTTTATAGTTTGTCTTTATTCACATTTTACAAAAGCTGAAAGCAGAGGTTAAGTTGCTAGGCAATTACTAGAAACCAAATAGTTCCTCAGGGGAGAATATATATTTTACCTGATTTGTTAGACACCCAAATAATTGCTTCTGAAGACACATGGCTTCTATTTCCTACCACAATAGTTAATGGAATCTGCCACAGGTAACTGCAAGATAAGAGAGGAGCTTTAAGTGTAAAAACATCTATATCAAAGAAATAACAAAAATATGTAACATTTCCTAAGCAATTGCTATGTAATTTCATTATTTTCCTCAGGAAAACAAATAAAAAAGCAAACAAATAAATCAACAAATGAATCCCAGTTGCACAAGCAAAGAATAAGAAGATGAATTTACTCTTTCACTGCCACCCAGAAGACTTGGCCTCTAAATTTTAATTTCAGTACAGAAATGCAATTGTTAACAAAATATTTCATATTAAAAACATAAATGCATTTGTATTTTGGAAATAAAAGTAAGAAATCTTTAACCATGACCCACACTATATTTTGATTAATATCTGAAGTGGATTCCTTCTCACTTTGTTTTATATTAGATTCATATATTTAAGTGATCTCATGCATTTATCTTCTAACGTTAGACTGTGAAGTTAACTATTAACATATTTTATGGGAAGATTAATATGGCAAATATAAAGTTATTCATCAAATAACAAACAAAGAAGACAGTTATTCAGCTGTTCCTAAAATCCAGAACCATGCAAAGAAGTGTTAAAATATTGACCAAACATGTAAGGTCAATCATGAGTATCAACTATAGGAGAAAAGCATTTTCTTACCTTTTCATAGAATAAAAAGTGGGGTCTATAAGTCATATCAGCCCTATCTCTAACAAATACTGGATGACTTTACAGTCAGTTCAATGACTACACTTTGTTTCCTTCCTTAGGACTTCGCCAGGTTAATATAATCTTTTGTTGTATTGCTGTCTGCACTATAGGAAATCAAAGTACTATATTTAAGATTTGAAATTTTAAAATTTAATGAAAAAATACTTTTTTATAACAACCATGCAAAGACACTATGTTATACTACAGTGAACTCTGCACAATAATTTATTATTATAAATAAACAATTTATAGTCATCAAATCTATACTGATTCTTTAGATACCAGTTAGTGGAATGTAAAATCTTTAATAAGTACTTTGATATTCCTAATGTAGGATGGAGAATATATGGCAAATATCTAATGCTGCATTTGTTGTGAAGATGCATAACGTTAATACATTTTTAATAGTTGTTCCCTAAAAATAATGAATCTCAATAAAGTAATGAATCTCTTTAAATTAGAATGTCTCTCCCTCTGAGTCTGCTTCTGAAGTTATATTATATACTCAGTTCGGAAAAGTGTAGAAACAGGAGTCATTTAATAATTGTTGCTGAAAATTATTGTATGAACATAGATTAAAATAAATGGGATCAAATTGAGGTAAGAGAAAGATTAACATTATGAACTTAAATTTTTAGTATATATCTTCCACACGGAATTGGGTAGACTAAAATGTTCAGTCAAATAACTATTGGTTGAAGAGTAAAAATACATAATTGAGACTATTTTAAAATTATCAATGATAAGTGTGCTTTTTTTGTGTACCATGAGCAAAAATTGTGAAATACAGTTTGCACTTAATACAAACATAAAATTGTATGTAGTAGAGTTACATTTTTAAAAAATAAGTATACATAATGGTAAAATTGGCATGTTTTGATATTTGAGTTTTTTGAAAAAGTCTCTAAAGTCCAAAAACATATGTTCGTATAAATAACTGCCTATTAATTCCAATCAATATCATATACATAAAGACAACTCACTAAATGGCAGAAACTGTATCACCTAAATGGTCACATTTAGAAAAAGTGTTAACTGTTAAAGATTTTGAGATGCAAACTTATAATATGTTATTAAAACTCTTAAATTAGTTTCTATATTTTCCTTAAGAATGTTTTCAGCGCTTTATTTTGTATGCATGTGCACATTCAATCTACATGATAACAGAGACCATCAAGTATTCCAAGTAACTAATCATATCTGAATTGTTGCACTTATTGATATTTCACAAGTTATTTTTCACAATTTTTAAACAGTATTTGGTCAGTTCAAAATATCACTTGCAAATAAAAGAAATCATGACAATTATGCTGTTTTCTTGTCTTATAGAGTGTAGAAGCTATAAAACACAATGGAGTGAAGGAACCTAACACTGCAGTGTGTTTACTTAAAAAGAAACTTAAAAAAAAAAAACCTCATGAAATCAGATTGTATTTTACCCATTTGACTTAAATTTTAGTCATCTCATTTTAAGCACTAAAAAGATTTTAGAAATGTATTTCAAAAGACTAGGATTTTTTTCTTTATTAGTCTCTAGCACTCCCCTGTTATCAGTAATTTACATTACAGTAAAGCAACACTGTTCTAATGATTATATCATAGTAGAAAATAAGAGGTACATTGTTTAACTGGTGTGAGAAACTTTGTAAACATATAGTATCCATATTAATGAAGATGGCATAGATTTTGTGATAAACTCTTTAGAACTCGCACCCAATTGGGGTCAATAAGAGAAGGCAAGTATCACTATGGAGAGACATGTTCTCTTAGTACAAAACCCAAAAGCTCCTCAGTGTGTGAGTGGACATGAAACACTACAATACACAAAGAAAAAAAGGCCAACACATCCCAATTACAAAAACTCTAACACACAATTTACACTGCCACTTATCAACTAACTTTATGCAATTTTTATCTGCATAATTGTACCTGTATCTGTATAAAGATCTGTATCTGTATAATTGTATATGTATTAAGATCTTTCCTTTTTATTATATAATACAACTATTATGAATGAAAAATATAATTATTGAATACACTAAAATGTTTCAGGCATGTCACAGGGATGTTCCTATACACCCTAGAAAGACAAAGACAAAGGATTGATTATCTTGGCTCAGAACATAACTATAGCCTACAGGATTGTTACCATGGATAGGCAGAAGGTTTTCCTACATTAACTATTTGTATTGTGTAAAACAACATTAGCCTTAGAAAGGCAACATACAAAGACTGGAAATAATTACTGTAGTAATGAATCCTTGACCAGAGCATCACAGTAAGTTAAATGATCAATAATATAAAATTGAAATACTACATTTTAACTAAAAGCTCTATTATTTCTTAATATTTTTTTTTGTCTTTTTCATTTTTATCGGTACCAGGGATCAAACTCACGACTGCCTGCTTGCAAGGCAGGTGCTTATGCCACTGAGCTAAATCCCCAGCCCCCTAAAAGCTCTATTATTTCAAGATAAAACATGACTTTTGAGACTAACAGGACATCCTGTATCACATTTCTCTTAATATTTTATATGCAAAGTGCTCAGAGTTCAAATCATCTATATCATTTTATAATTCCATTAAATACAAAAGTCTGTAGACATTACATATGCTTTTGCAGCCTGGTAGATATTTTTCCTTTATAGAGTAATTCTCATGGCTGGTACATCTGATGTATCTTACAGATTGACAAAGCATTTTAGCTCAAAATGTATTCTGTCATCTGTGTGTCCTTTATGTTTTTCTGCATCCATGATGCTGGTGTCAGGCTGAGCATTCTCAAAGATCTGGCCTGAATCTCTCTCACTTTGCCACAGTCAAGCAGTTTTTATGTACTTCCTGGCAAGGCCAGGGTTGATGCTTAAGCATGTTTAGCCTGGGGCCAGACGGTGAATGATTAGAAGCAGCACTTGCCAGCTGTGGGGAATCCAGGCTGGGTAGAGAATCAGTGACAGTCAGACCCTGACAGCAATGACAGTGTGGCAGGGTAAGATGGTATTACACAAATCCACCACTTGGATGGCAAGTCAGTGCTTTCAAATCTGTATATATTGTATAGATATATAATGTTTTATGTGTAGGATTTAAGCATGAATAAATGTTTTAGTCATATCTAAGATTTACGCATGTGCATGTATATTATGATTTATAATGCTGCTTTCCTAAATCAGAATCCAAAAGAAAACATTAATAAATGTTTCAATCACATCTCTATATATCCAAAGTCAGTAACAGCTGATTTGGAAACGATGTTTTTCTGTTTGAGAAAACGAAGTTATCTGTGTACTCTAACTCTTCTACCTACATACTGTGTTTGATAGTCAGAGTCCTAGTTTTCCATGGTAATACAAAATAGCACAAGGAACCTAATCCAATCAATTCATTTTACTTACTATACTTTTTAGCATAACCTCTCTCTCCCGGTTCACTTAGCTCAACCACTTATCAAAGCATCTTAGAAGAAATGAAACTGATTGACCTAATTCTACACACACTCTATCTCAGCCTTTACAATGTAACAAAAAATAGAAAATATGAAGTAAGAAAGAAAAAACCCAAGTGTTTAATTATTAGTAATTAAGAGTTTCAAAATCAAGATTCTACTTATAGTATCTGTTTAGTGATTTCAAGCACTAACTATACAAAAAAGAGAATATAGTGTGATGCCTAGCATTACACTTAAGATTATTTTAACATTACACCTAGATTATTTTAGGTATCTATTGAAAGTTCCTTTGACTAAGACATTTTTTAGTTTTAATTTTCTTAAAATTCTTTTTTCTGCATTGTTAGATTCTGTTCTCATTTGACTTGTAAATCTGACAGAAACACACCTTAAGTCTTGAATCTAACTCAAGAAATACTCATGTAGTTTTTTTTTTTTTGTTTGTTTTGTTTTTTTTTTGTAGATCACTATTATAACTTAAAATTATGTCTTCTGGAATAATGTGGTAAAGTGATAAATAATATAAAGGTGATAATTTTGAGAATTAAAATATATAGCAAATGGGAGTAAAGAAAAATCAACATGAAGTAATATAAATAAACATTACAAAATAAAAGTAAAAACATTTCATTTATAACATTTCAAAATTGTCTTATCAATACATTCTAAAATACTAAAAATGTGAATTAAAATAGAAAAACATTTTGTTCATGTAAATAAAGCGCATGGTACCTGTTATTTCGGAGTTCAAGTGCTTTAGTTTTAGCACTGATGTCATAAATAAAATGTTGTTGGGTAATTATTATTCTGTTTTCTGTTGTTGTATTTCCCATGATGGTTATAACAGGATAACCCATTTGCAGTGTCCACTGATCCATTACTTCTTGTATATTTATATATTTTCCATTTCTTTTTAAAGCCTTTAGAACCAAAATTGTATAAATTAGTTTTATAAACACCAGCAATGAGATAATTAACATTATGTATCTTTCATTTTTATCTTTCAATTTTCTAAAATATAAAAACATCTAAAATCAGGGAAGCAAACATAATATGCTGGTAAATTAATCTTTCCTGAAGTTAGCCATATTCATATATATGAAGGTTTTATTTAAAAGAATTACATAACAGAAAATAAAATAAATTTCATTGTTAAAACAAGAACTTGCAGGGTCATTTAACACCCTCATTATATTTATTATATAGAATAAAGATTCTTCAAAACATCTGTATTTTCTCCTTAACATGAATCTCTGATATTATATTAAATTTCAGAAGTATGATAATATTTGAAAGTAAATCAGACATCTTTTTAAATAATTTTAAATTTTAAATAATTTCAAATTCATTTTATTATATATCATATAAAGGACAAAACAAGAAAGCAATGTGATGAAAGCCAAAATACAAATTGTCAATTTTAATAATAATTAATAATGTCCTGAAATGTCGCTTCAGTTGTTCAACTTGACATTTTGATATTTGAATTTCCTATACATTACCTCTGATAACGTATTCCAGAGATCATTTCTGGCTGCATTGCCATATTTATGAATGGTTAGATAATCCTATAAAAATATGAAATTTGAATTACAATTCAAAGGTCAATAAATCACTAGTAAACACATTCTTCTCAATTCAATTAACCATTCTATGTGTTGCAAATGCATTAATAAAAAGCAAAGGTATGAATAAATCTCATCTAAAAATATTCCAAAGACATTTAACTATAGTATATTTCCAAATTAAGTCATCTAGCAATGTTAGTCTTTTAACAATGATTTTTAAAGCTATAATCTTTCTTATGATTTCCATGGTCAAAGATCTAACTGAACAAGCCAACCTTGGCCAATTTTAAAGAAAGTATTTCTATACAGAAATAGGGAGGATGAAATTTTTTTAGCCTTTTATATTGAATGACTGAAAAGAAATATATTTATTATGGCAAAAAGAAAAATATCCTTGGATAAAATATACTGTAGTAACAGGGATCACATTGTCAGAATAGCACTTTTATTCACAACTGTCTTCAATTCCCTGGTATCTCAGTAATGAAACGGTTATCTGTCACAAAAATGATAGTTATGCCAATGAATTTGAAATAAAAATTAGTTCTTTAAAGGAAACATAATTTCCTCAGTTTATTTAATATTTTTAGACCTAGGAGTTCCCTTTTCTAATTTTCTACCTTTACTGGTCAAATCTACACTTTCTGATTCATATGTTAGTCTCCTTTCTAACAAGTGTGGTTTTCTCCATTTTCAATGTGTTATTTATCACTACTTGGCAGTATTTTGTATGATTTCAAAGTGGAAGAATGAAGAGAAACTAGCTGTAAACTGTAAAGCAAACTCACCCCTCCTCTCTTTCATTTGAAATTATATTTTCTCTACAATATGTAAGTTGTAGACAAAAATTCTAATTTACATCAAAATACTAAAACTGAAAAAAAGTTGCTGACTCCTCTTAGTCCTTTATATAGAATGGGGTGATTAAAGTTAGGGAAGCAAATTTTCTGAAACATAAATTGTAGCACCTGTGACAGATTTGGTTTTTGCTGGCAATTCACAGCATAGACTATGGTAACCCCACTTACTCAGATGTCTCTAGATGCAATGTCCAACTCTAACTTAGCAACCACAAATTTAGCATCCTCCTCAGGTGTTATGAATAACTTTGTTAAAGAAAACCTTCAAATCCAATCTGCATCCCAATGAGGCATTTTTAACATAAACTCAGGGACCAGGATTCAACTTTTGAATTTATCTTTGTGATTTTTTAACACTTAAAGAATAAATTTGGGAAAAATAAGAATCATAAAGTTAGGTTTTTCTTTCATTTTTCCATAAGAAAAAGTGGTAAAATTAAAGCCATTTGCAATTGGGTTCTCTTTACAGCTAGTGCCATAGAAATAACACAAAATGGAAACAAATAAATACTATGAAATTCAATACAGAACTATCATTTATTTTTCTTTTCTGTCCTAAGGCAAATGATTTATGATATGAGTTGACAATGTTCCAATATTGATCAGCAGCTTGCGTTCTTGATGTCCTCCCCAGTTCATAATACCACTCAAACTTTTCTCTTTAAACAATTGAAATGGAAATGATCGATGTTTAAGAAGCAACTCCTAACTGGCTGCCTCAGTAGTCAGGGAAATTAGCACTTCTTAGCCTCACAACAGCCCTGACATTACAATGTTGTTAGAATTCCACACATGTCAACTTGTTTCAAGGTGTTTCCTTAACTGTTTTAGCATTTCTTAGGCACAAATGCATTCATATTTAAGTAAAGGAAATTCTGTTTTGTTTTTGCAGCATCACAAAGAAATATAAAAGGTACTGAGTATGTTTTTAAAGATTAATCATTCACTTCTCATAATGTAAGAGCTTTCACATTTATCACTTCATAAAAGTTGCGCAAATGGGTGGAAATGGTAAAGAAAACAGGTTACTGAGAACAACTACAAATACTGAGATGTGGTTTGCATTACAGAAATCTCTGTGACTAAAGTAGTAGGAATCTTGTTACAACTGCCATTTGGCACCATTAATTCAAACAAGGGTACGTGATGAATAAGATTATAAATTATTTTCAAACTTGTCAATGGATATGAATCTGAATAGAAATTTATGTTTATGATTTTGTGTTTGAAACTCAATCAACAGTAGACAGTATATAAAACAGAATGTTTTAATACCTTAAAACTTAAAAGTTAACTTAAAAGTTGTGAGTTTAATATAATTTAATTTAGGTATGTATTCCAGAAAATGTCTCATCATTATTGAAAAGGATCAGGCAAAGATGAACACTAGAACATTCTTATGTGACAAAAATAATGTAAACTCACTAAAAGTTAAAAGGTTATAAAGCAAGAATGTATTTTGATACATCTGCCTACGGAGAGGTGTGATGACAGGGTTTTCCTTTGTGTCTGTTTTCTCATCCGTAAGATAGGAATAATAAAAGTATTACTGCGTATATATGTGTGTGTGTGCATGTTAGAAAAGTAAAGAATGTCTAATACATTGTAAATATCTATAAACTGAGCTATTGTAATCATTTTTAATTATCTCATACTGTATACTGAGATAATTAAACTGAGGAGCAGAAAGGAAAATGTTACAAAGAACACAGCGCATGAAAACAGTGTTTGTCTCCTTCTTGGCATTGTGTAAGTTCCTATATATTTTATCCCATTCAGTTCACATCACAACATTAGAAGGTCAACAGTATCATCATCATTTAATGAACTTCAGACTAGCCCACATCCAAACCCCAAACCTGTGTACACAACTGCCTGCTCATATCCAAAAACCCAAAGATGCCATATACGTAAGAGTCACAACATCAGCTCCTTGTGGTGATGGCACCGGAAATGACCTTTCCATCCACCTCACCCACACAATCATCTTGATGCTCTTTTTTCCTTTTCACCTTCTGGACATGATTAGTGTTTATTTTCTCTCTTTTCTAGTATTGTGTTTGTATGATTATCATACTTTTTCTTTTGCCTATTAAAATTACATGCATATTTCAGGACTCAATTTTGATGCATTTTTCTAGGAATCGTTGCATATCATTCCAATCTATATTCAAATTCTAAGTGGAAAAACTTCGCATATTGAACTACATAAGAGCTTTTACCATACCATTACAATTGTGAATTTATTAGTCTGAATGTTCATATTCTCTATAAACTCCAAGATGGCAAGGAACCTTCCATACCATAAACATAGTATTGTTTAGCAGGCATATTTGTGCCAAGCCTATTATACAATAGATACTCAATATATGTGCTTGTAACCTTTCATTCTTTATACAGTATACCCCAATGTTAATAACTAACAAGATTGTAGACAAAGCTGATATTTTTTCTATGAGATTCCCCCTAAATCTTTCAATATAAAAATAGGGCATAGTTAATTACTTCAGTGTATAATTTAAAATGATTTATGTAATTGCATTTGAGATTACTAAAAATATGAATTATTGCATATAAAACCATTTTTGTTTAACTTCCTTTGACATGGTTCATAATGTTTCATGTGTAAAAATCAATGAGGCTAATAAAAACAATGAAAAAGGAAAAAGACTAATCTTTGGAAGCAAAAAGTGTATAATATTTTAAGATTTATATGAAAAAAACTGCAAGGTACGGTTGTGCATGCCTGTATTCCCAGCACTCTGGAAGCTGAGGCAGGAGGATCACTGCAAGTTCAATGCCAGATTGGGTTGAAATGCATAGTGAACTCTGTCTCAAAAAAAACAAATAATAATAACAATAATACTGATAATAATAATGGAATACTTAATCTTCTCAATGATTTCTTTAGGATGGAGGGTCTGAAAATTACTTCTTAAATTTTTTGTTCCTTGGGATATGGAGGAGTGGTTCAAGAAACTTTATGGACTGTTTTTTATGTGTAACAGCAAGTAGTGAAAATATTGAGAACAGAATAACTTTTAAAACATCAATGTTTTTCTGCCCTATTATAAATAGTTACCATAGGGCAACAGATGTTCTTTTCTAGGATTATTTGAATTCACCCTTATCTATATTTTACCTTTATCTTCATCTTCAGCCTGGACTAGATAGCAGCAAAATTTCCAAGCATCATACTTGGAGATGATTTGAACAAGGGAAAAAGAACTTCTGAAAATATCTTTCTGAAAACTAGGAATTCTCCCCTTCAAATCCTGCATTGAATTCATCCGCTACATTTTGTTTCTGTCAAGATTGCATCATGTGCCTTAGCAATCACATTACTACAACCAAAGCAGCACTGCTTTGGCTTTTATACAGTGTAAGACAAAGTCTTCTGAAGTAGGTAGCTCTTCCAAAAAGGGTGAAAACTTCCAATGTCAGAATGCTGCTAACAAGAAAGATGTGAATTTTGAAGTGGGCTCCCAAAAATGTCACTCTAAAGAAAAGGAAAAACAAGTTGGGGACTCAGGGACCCTAAGAAGCAGATGCTCTCTGCTATAGCACTATGTGGGAAATGCCAGAAAATTCAAGCATCGATTTTATTTTCCTATGTGACAAGAAGGCTGAAGGAAAGGTTTGAGATATTGTTGCTTTCTATCAAGAATAATTATACCTCCGAAGATCTGTAGTGAGCATTTGTCATGTTTTGGCTTTCCAGCATTTAAATGCCATTTGTAAAGGGACGATAACTCACCATGGAACGTGGGAGGACTCTGTCTCACACTATTGAAGGGCAGGAGACAAAATACTAAATAGTCTCTCTCTACTTTCCCTGGCAGCTAATGCATGAATATGTGTCCTGGCTTCAGATGTCCTTCCTAGGACTGTGAATTCTAAAAGAGGAATGCAAACGAGTAGTTACAAAATTATTTTCTGGGATGGTGCACTAAGGACTCTGACAGTGACAGTGGGGGCAGTGACTCAGTCAGCTACTCCTGGGGCATTACCTTGGGTAGATTTCTTAATTCTTGGAGCCTTGTACCACATGTTTTGTGAGTTTAATTCTACAATCTCCCTCATGAAGTTATGGAGTACTCTATATTTTTCCAATAAATTACTTTTTGCTTAATTCAGCCA